CAATATTGTAGTTAATGGATAAAAAGAAGAGTGACAACATTTCTCCGTTTCCCTTGAAATATTTTTTTTGCCACTTTATTTTTTAATTGAAGGATAACTGCTTTATATAATTTTGCTGTTTTCTGTCAAACATCAACAAAAATCAGCCACAGGTACACCCGTGCGCCCTCCCTCCTCAGCCTCCCTCCCAACCCCACCCCTCTAGATTGTTACGGAGCTCCTGTCTGAGTTCCCTGGGTCAGACAGCAAATTCCCACTGGCGATCTGTTTTATACATGGTATTGTAAGTTTCCATGTTACTCTCTCCATACATCTCATCCTTAATTTCTCCATATTTTAAAACACCTTATATACTCATCAGTTTGCTCCTACGTGCTAAGTCATAGATACTGGTCAATAAGATCAGTTGTTTAGGCTTATACACAGAATGATAACAAGAATATTCAAACATAATCCAAGCAACCTATCCACATAAAGGGAATGGAAGAATAGGTTAGTCTTTCAAAACATGTCATCAAACATATGACAAAAATAATGAGGGCATTTTTTTTTTTTTAAAAGAAGAACATGGGAAACCTTGTTTGATGCCTCAGATGTTAAGATGCCTTAGCTGTTAAAGGGACTATTATGATCCAGGAGGTATACATTTAATAGGATAGTATGGGATTTTTAACTTTTATCTTCTAAATCAGCAGTTTCCAAACCCTGGCCTATAGAACCTTTTCTCATCCATATGAGAAACAAGTTTGTTTATTCTGAGATTATTCCCTCCATTTTAAAGAATTAAAGAGTCATCAAGATCAAAAAGTTTAAGTTCTACATCATTAAACCAGGTTTTATTACGTTATCACTTCAAGATGAACACAGGAAAATGGAAGGAGACTTTGGGATTTTCTGTAACATATGACTAGTTCATTTCTGCATTTAACAACTAAAGATATAAAAAACACTATGTGTCAAAACAAGTCAATTCCCTGTTGGGGCATAATGCAAGAAAATTAATCTGTAAGCTTCCCAAGAAGATTGTTTCTAAGCACTTTTTGTGATTGGAAACCACCTGGAGTAAGTTCCTTCAAGCTTTACCAATAAATGATACCCTCAGACCACTACTCCAATAATAAAGTTTAATGTACTGTAATGCATTTATGGTTCAGAAGCTTTTTTTGGAAAAAACAACTGTCTTAAAGACTTGAATTCCTAATAGGAATGCAGAAGTCGCCCCACATAAAAGCAGTGTTATTTTAAAATAACTCTAGTTGAGAGATTTTCTCTGGATTAAAATTACTAGCCTATATCAAATAGTGATATACATGCCCTTCCCCACACATTACAGACCTAGTGTAGCCTGTATATTAACCACATGCAAAAAGAACCACATTTTACCTTGGGATTTGGAGAAAGATCATTCTTAGAGAGGTTTTTACCATCAGCTCCTGTTAAGATTTTGTTTCGAATATGAACCACAATTTCAGCTGCATTATATCTAGGAAAAGACAAAGTTTCCATCTTGGGAGTCTCCTGTTGGTTTGAAGGAATTAAAAACAAAGATCAGAAACATGGCACAACCAGCAGTTCTCACTACCTGGAAGCTGACAAATACAAGCACAAAATTAACAAGCTAAGGTTGAACTATATTCATGGTAGTGCTATTATCAAATCATCAAACATCCTAGTAAGATAATATTAAAAACAAATATATATATACACACACACATACATATTCTAAAACAGCTTTTATTCTAAAGCAACACGGTCATTTTCTAATTTAACTAATACTGTTTTCTTTTTCATGGGAAAGAGGACTTAGGTTGAACAGACAGATGAGAAACTACGTTTTTTGGTTTGTTTTTTTTTAAAGTTTGGGAGGCCGAGTTCAATAAGATCCCGAAGATTAATCCTCAGAGTAAAATATACAGGTAACACTATCAGCAGAATCTATACACAAACAACAGCAACTTAGGGTAAATAAATAATAAGCTGTACTGTACTCTGACTTGACATTCTATTTAATGACACACAGTGAGATGATTAATAAGGTTTAAGATGTAAGTAGGATGAGAGAGAAAAAACAGAGTAAGGATAGAATAGCTGTGAGTAAAAGTCATCAGTCATGTCATCATCATTCTTTGCGACACCATGGATTGTAGCCCACCAGGCTCCACTGACCATGGAATTTTCCAGGCAAGAATACTGGAGTGGGTTGCCATTCCCTTCTCCAGGGGATCTTCCTGACCCAGGGATCGAACACAGGTCACCTGCACTGCAGGTATATTCTTTACCATCTGAGCCTCCAGGGAAGCCCATGAATAGCTGTAACTGGCAGGAATTCCAATCACCAGATGAGAACTTGAAAAATAAAATAACAAAAAACCCACTCCTTACAATGTCCTTCAATAGTGAAATATTCGCACCTGTGTCCTCTGAGAGCAGTTGTTCTCACAATTTTGGAGACACTTTTGGTTGTCTGCACTAGATTGAGGATGCTACTGGAACCTAGTGGGTAGTAGGCCCAGCATGCTGCAAAACACCCTGAAAGGTGATTGACAAATAACTTCCCAGTTCTGCTTAAACATTAGAAACATCACAGAATTCACTGTCTCAAGGTAACTTTTTGTCCACCTTAGTATGAATCTAATAATAAGATAACGCTTTCTCATACTATACAGAAATCTGTTTGTTATAACTCATTCTGGTCCTATTTCTTGTCACTGCAACTAAATAGAATTTATTAATCCTTGGTCACATGACTCCACTTTCAAAAATGTGAAGAAAGCTATCATATCTCTCTGCTTAGTCCTCTCTGATCTAAAGAAAGTATAGTTTAAGAACATCCACTCCATTTATGACTTTTAGAAACTATCATTCTGCTCACTTTCCTCTACAACTATTTCATCAGTGTCTTCTTAAAATGTAACGCTCAAACTGAACATAATACTCCAGATATGGTCTGATTACAGTGGAATATCAATGCAGTCGGCAATAGTCACTGCTCATCTAATGCTACTATAACACTTAGTGACAAATGTGTGTGTGTGTGTGTGTGTGTGTGTCTGTGCATGCGCGTTTGACTCAAAGTCCCAGAACTTTTTCAACGTAGCCCACTTCTCCATAACTTCTTACATGACTTTGTAGTCCACTAGCCAGGAGTTCTCCATGCTCTTTTTACATAACTGATTATTTGAACCTTAAGGATTTGTATTTCCTATGACTGAATTTCCCATTATTCCTATTTCATACTATTGAATTTCATAATTTGCATTTCCTATTACTGAATTTCATAATTCCAGACTTTCCTTCTATAGTCAGAATCCTTTTGTATCCAGATTCTGACACCTCACATGTTATATGTCCCTTTTAACATAAATATGCATTCTATATGTTCATCTAAGTCACAGATTTGAAAATCATTGCCCAAAGAAAGACTGCAGAAAAAGTCAACTTTCCAAAACAAACTATTAATATAGCTGGATCAGAGATTATTCCAATAGAGAAAGAGGTGCAAAATACAATATCTTCATAATTATTATCACACATCTCTCCCTTCTAAAGTCGTGCACTTTGCTATCAGGTTAATCTGCATAGAACAACAAATGCATCAGGTAACATCTTTACAAAAATAATTACTTGCCCTACCCATCACATTACATTCAAATGTTTCTGCTTGGCTTTTAAAAACTTCCACAATTTAATAACCTAATCTATTTTCTGTTACAAGCTAGTCTCCTCCAGGACGTTTCCCAAACTTCCAGTGTTTCCTTTTGAAACCACCTCTCCTATCTAACTTCTGTTTTTGTTTGATAGTACAATTTCAGTTCCAATTTGCCACGAGTGTGTGGAGAGAGGGAGGGAGAACGGGACAGGGAGGAGAAGGAGAGAAAAAGACAAGAGGTGGAGAGGCCTTCCAATACAGTTTGAGCTCTCTGGTGAGATAAAGTATATAAAAGACCTAATACGTAAAGTAGCAGGCCATTTACTGCTAATCACCTCTAGGTGTCTCATTATTTGCAACACCACAATCCAGCGCAGAGCAGGTTCATTTTTCTAAAATAAACTAGATCGTGGAAATCAAAAGCCCAGGGAGCCGATGCTAAACAAAGAGAAAAGAGTCCCAACCTCAAAAGATTAAAAGTTTCCTGAACTTATTCAGGGAAATGATCGTGCCATGCACGCAAAGCGCTATATATACACCGCCCTCTTCCTCTGACTTTTGGATTAAGCATGATATTTCTAATATCACACCGCAGGTTGACGAGCTGCGGTCCAGTGGGTCGCAAAGAACACGACCTGGCGACTGAACAGCAATAACATGATATTTTAGCCTTTCGGTTTTTGGTTTTGACTTTGGTTAAACGATGTTTGAGTAACGGAGATTCATGACAGCATCTGGAACCCCATTATCTTCGAAATAAATCGATTAAAAATATAGAAATACAACCTTCAACAGACAAGCTGGACCTCAAGTTTCTTCTCGCGTAATCTTTGCTGTACCAAATGACAGATATTCGTTTCGTAGGAAACGAGTTCAGATTGTTTAGGGGGCTAAAATCTAACAAAAACGACCGATGAGCTCACCCGCACCACCCAAAGGCGGGCTTCTGCAGCCTTCTCCCCAGCGACGCGTGTAACGAAAACACTGTCAGGCCCGTGGCTCCAGAGCGAGAGAGCACACACTGTCTCCCGGACTCCGTCCACGCGTGCCTCTCTGCTCTCACCTACCGCAGCAGCCGCCCTCAGGACGGCGGCGAGTCCGTGGAGCAGCCACAGGCGAAGTCAAAAGTCAGCAAACACCGACCGTTGTCAATTTTCAAACCCGCCGCCTCCTACTGGAAGTCCCTCCCCGTTCCGCCCCGCCCACTTCCTGCGCTCCGTTCGCGCCGGGTACCGGCTGGGCTCAGTATGCTTAGAGCGGTTGGCGCTGGAGGTGCGAGAGAGAACGCTGGGCTCTAGGCGGAACTATTTTTCGCGGAGGTGACTCCAGTCGGAATTGGATTCTGCAGGAAGTGGGAGAGCCGCGGTTTGGGCAAGTAGTCCGGCGCGGTTTGGGCAAGTAGTCCGGCACGGCCGCGGAACTCCCGAGGTTCGTAAACGTGTTCTGCTTCAGAGGTGAAGAGCGAAAGTGAATAGAGGGTTTCTGGAGACTTAAGCTAAGCTCATCGTAACAAGGAAAGGAGGACGTGGGGCTGTCAGTGGGGCAAGGTAAGTCATAGAGTCTCAGAGTGCTAATAATGCTGATGCTTTTTGAGCATAGCCCTCGGGTTCTGTGTTGGATGCTTACAGGTTGAATGCTTACTTTTTCAGTTCAGTTCAGTCGCTCAGTCGTGTCTGACTCTTTGCGACCGCATGGAATGCAGCATGCCAGGCTTCCCTGTCCATCACTAACTCCCCGAGCTTGCTCAAACTCATGTCCATTGAGTCGGTGATGCCATCCAACCATCGTCGTCCCCTTCTCCTCCCGCCTTCAATCTTTTCTAGCATCAGGGTCTTTTCCAGCGAGTCAGTTCTTCGCCTCAGGTGGCCAAAGTATTGGAGTTTCAGCTTCAGCATCAGTCCTTCTAATGAATTTTCAGGACTGATTTCCTTTAGGATTGACTGGTTGGATCTCCTTGTAGTCCAAGGGACTTCCAAGAGTCTTCTCCAACACCACGGCGCCCAGCTTTCTTTCTAGTCCAACTCTCACATCCATACATGACTACTGGAAAAACCTTACCTTTGATTAGACAGACCTTTGTCAGAAAAGTAATGTCTCTGCTTTTTAATATGCTGTCTAGGTTGGTCATAGCTTTTCTTCCAAGGAGCAAGTGTCTTTTAATTTCATGGCTGCAGTCACCATCTCCAGTGATTTTGGAGCCCCCAAAAGTAAAGTCTCTCACTGTTTCCATTGTTTCCCCATCTATTTGCCATAAAATGATGGGGCTGGATGCCATGATCTTAGTTTTTTGAATGTTGAGTTTTAAGCCAGCTTTTCACTCTCTCCTCTTTCACTTTCATCAAGAGGCTCTTTAGTTCTACCCTTTCTGCCATAAGGGTGGTGTCATCTGCATATCTGAGATTGATGATATTTCTCCTGGCAATCTTGATTACCGCTTGTGCTTCATCCAGCTCTGCATTTCTCATGATGTACTCTGCATATAAGTTAAATAAACAAGGTGACAATGTACAGCCTTAGCGTATTCCTTTCTCAATTTGGAACCAAACTGTTCCATGTCCCGTTCTAACTGTTGCTTCCTGAGTTGCATACAGATTTCTCAGGAGGCAGGTCAGGTGGTCTGGTATTCCCATCTCTTAAAGAATTTTCCACAGTTTGTTGTGATCCACAATATCTTTTTTAGGATTCATTAAAAAGGGAAAAGGGGCTAATAGATACCATCATCAACTTAGGGATTAATTCAGGGGAATTATGCCACTGACTTAAAGCTATGTGCAGAAGTTCATGCATGCATGCTAAGTCACTCCAGTTGTGTCCAACTCTTTGTGACCCTATGGACTGTAGCCCACCAGGATCCTTTGTCCTTGGGATTTTCCAGGCAAGAATACTGGAGTGGGTTGCTATTTCCTACTCCCATGTAGGGAAGAATCCTGGTCTTTTCTTCTGCCTCCCTTCTTTCATGCTGCCACAAGAGCCAGGCATTGCCGGTGCCTTCCAACACTGAACTGTCCTCTGAACACACATGTCCCTGAATGAGTTGGATTCTTTAGTTGATGCCTGAATGAGAGGCAGGCACCTCATACCTAGTCACAAATCAGGGCCTTGCAGCAGAAGATGGGACGATAGGACGGCCTGGTTGTTGGGGAGAGTGGGGGGCAGCCATTGAGTTTTATTACGTGTTGGGACCCTGGAAAATGTAATAGAACTTGCAGGGTTCAGTATTAGTGAGGGTGATGTACTGGTCGGGAAGTCTGGGCTGAATCAAGTGAAAAACAATGCTGAAAAGATTGTGTTGACAGTAGACACAAATTCTGGTACTTTGTTGTATGGGGGAGTGGAGGCTCTACCTATTAATATGGAAATTTATGCTGATTTGAAGTAAAAGTATGTTTCATATTCAGTAGTTTAGGGCTTTCTTTTCCCCTTTCTATGTCCATTTACTGATATAATTCTCAAAGTCAGAATCTAATAAAACTCAGAAGTTAGTTAGGAAATAGATTTTTTTAAAAACATTGAGAGTCTGAAAAAAAGAGACCTTTCTCATTGGCACTTACCAAATCAAGCTGATTACTTGTGAATTCACGTAACTCCAATAGGCCATATCTTCTTAGAAACAGAAAAGGAATGTAGATAGCATAATGGCTGAGAGCTTAGCTCTTGAGAAGCTGACTTTAAATCCCTTATCATAGTGCTTACCATCTATGTGGACTCAGGCAGCTTGATTAACCTAACTAAACTGGTTTCTGCATCTTTAAAATAGAGATAATATCTGATTTATAGGGTGTCATGAGATTAGATAGATTTATTCTTGTGAAGTATTTCACAGAATAAGTATTAATATTGCCAGTTATTTTGACTATTATTATTTATACACTGTCCTAGTAAAATATCCTGCAAATGTTAAGTGTTCAACCATTGTTAAGAGTCCAGACAAGAAAAGGTGACCTATTTGTAAACTAAAAATAGAATGAACCATATGGAGAGAGAAAAATGAAGTGATAGAAAAGCAGAATGACTGTATTTATAGGATAATAATTGTGTATTTGGAGGATAATTTTACTGTAGATATGGCAAATTGATAGTTTATTAAAGTCAAGAAAAAACTAACAGGTATTTATTCAGGTTGTCTTGATTATACGGGTAGATCTGATTTTTCAAGATTTAGTTGTCTGTTACTGGTCATCGTGGAGTAGAAGGCAGAACATCAGAAATACAGAAATCCCAACCTAGACTTTCTTGAGTTTTGTCATCATTCATAAAGACGTTAACTACAGCAAAAAAATCAGATTCCACTCCTCTTTATGGCTGTAACATCTGTTTCCCCTGCACCTCTATACCCTCACGTGGTCCATATCTGCTCTTATATTTCATTTTCCCTCTCAGCCCTCCTGCCATTACCTCCCTTCCCAGCCTAGACCACAGATTTATCAATATCCAGATGCCCTGTGTTTCCTTGCCTCAGACCCCAGTGCCTGTCAAAACCTTAATCCTGAGTCTGTCCCATAAATCTCCAACTGAGTTCACTTTGGAGGAAATAACACAAAGTGACATACAACAGATTCTGGGTCTGCAGCTTCAGCTTACCCCAATTCTTGACATTCCTTTATCATTTGTCAGTTCCCGGTCTTATAACTTTCAGTGATAACTACCTCCTCCTTCCTGAGCTTCAACTTCTTTTTTGTTACAAGGTGACTAGTCTAAAAGGTATTTTTCAAGCACTTAACACACATTCCCATGTGCCTGCAATTTTAATGCCAGTTCCTTTTTAAATTTGTGTTCTTTTTCTATTGTAGGGTGCACTTTAGATCCCAGATGACAGACCTGTAAAGGCCGAGCAGACCTTTGACTGACAAGATGGGGTGCTCAGTGAGACCATCACAGCCTGCAACTAGGACTTTATCTTGAACTCAGGTAGTGTTCCTGTGGTAGCTAGAGCTTTTGGTTAAATTTTTTTAAATCTCTTTTTAAGTGCCAAGATTTCCAAATTGTTTCTGCTTTTTTTTTTTTTTTAAAAAAAGGGTTAGTGAGGATGAAAAGTTGATTCACTTGGTCTAGTGTGGTAGGAATAGGTGAAATACCAAAATTGGTATTATGCCAAGGGCTTATGCCCTCCTTGCCATCAAAGACCCACTCATTTGAGGATGGAGATTTCCTCGGGGCCACAGACATTTCCAACAACCTTGTACCTAGTTAATTGAGAAAATCCAAGCCCTCATGTGATGTATCACAGCTTCCTGTCCACCCCACATTTATCTGCCTCTCTCTTATTGGTCTTAGAAAACGAATAGCACCCACTCCACCCGTACTATTGACCAGTGCCTCTCTCTAGACCGTCTCTTACCTTTCACACCATTGGTCAGACCCTTCTTGAAACCTGAATCCCTTTACTTCTCTCCTGTTCTACTTATCTCATGCTTCTTAGGGGCGCTTTCTCTGCCTGTCCTTTAAATAGTATAAGTTTAAACCTTGATTTTTTTTCTCCTCTTTTTTTTTTTTTTGAGGAATATTCCCTTTCAGAGTACCATCCATGCTCATTGTTTTAAGCTATTTGCTTAAGGATCCTAAAACTGCTGCTATACCTGACTTCTTCCTTGAGACTCAGACTTTTATTTGCCTACTACATAGATCCATTTGGGAGGGCTCATGAGCCATTCAGATTCTAATTTATCCCTTCCTTTTATTTCAGCTACCAATCTATCTCACTGTTGCCTCCAGCCTTAACAACCCTCACCTACATCCCCCAATTTGTCTTTTCAGTAGCAGCCAGAATGATCAGTCTTAAATGTAAATCTGACCATTTTACTGGTCTGTTTAAATGTCTACAACCCTCCCCCGCCCCCTGCCACCTCCACCATCACCTACAAGATAAAGTCTACCTCCATAGCCTGTATCCTAGGACCTCCATAATCTCACCACTGTTTATGTTTCCACTATCATCTTCCATCACACACACTTCCCCTTCATGATGCTGTTTTACACTTATAGAACTTTTCATATTCTTATTGATACTGTCTGGATGTCTTGATTTTCTTTGCCTAACTCCTACTTTCTTTACTTATTTTTCAGATATCTTCTAGAAAGCCTTTCCCTAATCCACAGACTGAACTAGTTGACTTTCCTTCTGACTTTCTGAGTGTTGATTGATTTATCCAGAAAATACTTAGCCTCTTATTTTATGCCAGACACTGAGCTAGATATGGAAATATAATAATGAGCAAGTAAATGTAAAAATCAATCTAATAATTGACCTGACAAAGCTTATGTTCTCATAGGGAAGGGAAACATGAATTAAAAAAAAAAATGTAGTTCAGTCTGAATGGTTCCATGCTTGTGAACAGATAGGAATTAGCCAGATTAAACGCTGGAGGGCAAGTTAGAGACAACTGTAAAGGCCCAGACAGGAGAGGAGAGCATAGTCCAGGAACAGAGATTCTAGATGCAGGGCTGGGGAAGCAAATAGGCTTAGATTATGAAGAGTGTTGCTGATCATATTAAGGCATTTGACCTTCTTCCTAAAGATAATAGTAAGTTTGAAGGGTTTCAACATGATTAGGTTTGTATTTTAGGTGATGACTCTGACTACTGTGAGAAAATGGAATTGAGAAGTGGCAAGACTAATGGAAGGAAAACCAGTTAGGCCATCATTGTAGTAATCCAAGGAAAAGAAGATGGCGGCCTGTACTAGGGCATTGCCAGTGTGGATGGAACTATAAATCCCGGAGGGATTCAGGAAGTAGAACTGGGAAGATTTGACAACTGGATTGGAAGGACAGAGGTGAAAGAAATAAAGGGTAGAGTTCCATAAACAAGTTTTAGTGAAGACCCTATTTTCTGTCATATATTCACAGCCTGAAAGTCCTTAGACATTGCAGATGCTTGATAAATATCTGCTGAGTGAGAGTTTTCTGGCTTGAGCCTAGATAAATGGAATGCCATTTTCTGATTTAGGAAATGTAGAGGTGAACTCACTGGGGGAGGTGACTGATGATTGAGTTTTGGATGTGTCTAGCTCAAGATGCCTGTGGGAGATACATGTGAAAATGACAGATATGATGCAATTGGGAGAAATCTCAGACATATTCTTTGTACACTTTAAAAAAATAAAGGTTTATGTTTTATTGAAATGATCTGTTTTGTGTCTGTCTGCACTACTACACAGGACTGATTTTTTTTTTTTTTTAAGCTTATTCTTCAATTGGAGGAAGATTGCTTTACAGTGTTGTGTTTCTACTATCCAACAACTTGAATCAGCCGTAATTACATACATATCACCTCCCTGGGCCTCCCTCCACCCCACTCCACCGCCACCCCCATCCTGCCCCTTCAGGTGGTCTCAGAGCACCTGGCTGGGCTACAAGGGCTGGTTCTAAATGACTTGATTCCCTAGCACCTTACACCGTGTCTGGCACAAACAGGGCACCTGGTCGTTGTTGAACTGAACTACTCCTTTTTAAACATGGTACATCTAACAGGAGAAATTAATAGTAGTAGTCCCTGAGGAGGGAGACTGGGGCTCAGAGTGAAAAGATTTTATTGTATATATTTTGGTTCTTCATGCCTTTTCCCTCATTTGCTTATATTTCCTATGAAAAATAAAGATGATGAGAAAGAAATGCTCAATTTGTATGAACTTTAAACTGAAAACAGTACTCTACCTATGATCTGATACAGAGTAGAATATTAATGCTATATGAAGTCATACTGTTCATAGCATTTTTTGACCACATCACATTATCAACTTATTTACAAATTTGATGATTGTATCATTGTTGCTATTGTTCAGTTCACTTAGATAATAATATTTATGTCTTTAAAAAGTGAAATTATCAGCACATACTTTATATTAAGGACATCAGAAAATCTTTGAAACTATGTATTGTGAGGTATAGTTAAAACTTACTAAGCCAAAGGAGTTTGGTACTTTTATATCTGCCTAACAATTCATATGAGAGAAAACAGTGGGCCTCTTTGACCTGTCAGCTAACATTTATTGTTTGCTAACATTACAAGTAGTGTCCAACATGCAAAACCTTTTCGTTACAAGTGTTGGAATGTTCCTTTTACATCTTCAGTTCAGTTCAGTTCAGTCGCTTAGTCGTGTCCAACTCTTTGCGACCCTACGAATTGCAGCACGCCAGGCCTCTCTGTCCATCACCAACTCCCGGAGTCCTCTTCACTTTCTGCCATAAGGGTGGAGTCATCTGCATATCTGAGGTTATTGATATTTCTCCTGGCAATCTTGATTCCAGCTTGTACTTCCTCCAGCGCAGCGTTTCTCATGATGTACTCTGCATATAAGTTAAATAAGCAGGGTGACAATACACAGCCCTGACATACTCCTTTTCCTATTTGGAACCAGTCTGTTGTTCCATCTTAACTGTAGTTAATTATGAATTAATATGTAATAATGCTTTTATAGATTGTGAGTTGGCATTTTCGTGTATAATTTTATTTAAAAGGTTGGGGTTCTAGGAGCACTACAGATGCAGTAATACTTAGAGGTGAATTCTAGGAGCATTTTGTTTCCACAGCCTACTCACTGGGTGGCGCTGTTGTATTAGTGTTGACCTCTCACAATTTAGACGTTTTCATTTTCTTTTACGTAAGTAAATAGAGTGATGAACATTGAACACAGTGTTCTAGGTGGGAAGGTTAGATTCTGACTTTGTTGGCTTTAAGATACGTATTTAGAGTTCAGGCTTAAGACAAACAGCCTGAATTCAAAGCAGGTCTCTGTTTTTGTATTGTCTTATAGTCATTCAAAATCTGTTAATCTACTTCATTCCTCATCTGTGTCCCTCTTTATTAGTACATTTGGGAACTGGACTATACATTTGAGTTACTTTAAACAGTATCTTCATTTTGGTTTCAAATGAAATTTTTAGTCTGAAACCATAAAATATATGTCCTTTGTTAATTTGTGATGAACTCTAAACCAGATGTAAGGAAGCAAAAATTTGGTATATTCTACTTTAACCTCCTAGTATCCTTTCCTCAACTTTCACATCATCCTGTATTATTGTAACGTAGCATAGAGAACCTTGGGCTTCCCAGGTGGCGCTGGTGATAAAGAACTGGCCTGCCAATGCAGGAGACATAAGAGTTGCTGGTTTGATCCCTGGGTTGGGAAGATACCCTGGAGGAGGGCATGGCAACCCACTCCAGTATTCTTGCCTGGAGGATCCCATGGATCCTGGTGGGCTATGACCCATGGGGTCGCACAGAGTCAGACACTACTGAGATATTTGTCTAATGTAACTGTTTAAAATACGAGTTTTGTACTCTGGGCATTTCTGAATTTGGTATTGTGATATCCTATAGTGAGATCAGTCCTGGGTGTTCATTGGAAGGACTGATGCTGAAGCTGAAATTCCAATACTTTGGCCACCTGATGCGAAGAACTGACTCATTGGAAAAGACCCTGATGCTGGGAGGGATTGGGGGCAGGAGGAGAAGGAGACGACAGATGAGATGGCTGGATGGCATCACCGATTTGATGGACATGAGTCTGAGTAAGCTCCGGGAGTTGGTGATGGACAGGGAGGCCTGGCGTGCTGCGGTTCATGAGGTCGCAAAGAGTCGGACACGACTGAGCGACTGAACTGAACTGATAGTGCTACCAGGTATTTCAAGGAAGTTTAAGAGATTCTTGGGGAGGAGGGTTGGGAAATGTGAACACTTATGTTAAAGTTAATCATTTATAACAAATTTTGGAAAAGGAAGTTAAAAAATAAAACCAATAATGACAGTACCAGAAAACTTTGGAGATAACTAGCTTTTTTGTCAGAATTTTAGTGTCACATTGTCATTCCAGTAGATTCTTTTATGCTAATAACTTCTGTTATCTAGAGTAAATCTTCCAGTACAGACTTTATTTAATGAACTCTTAGAAGGAAATCACTTCTAAGTTCTCAACATCTTTTCATAGCCCCTAATCTTATTTCTCTCAAAAAGAAGGCTATATCTCTGTGTTTTATCAAAGCATTTCTACATAAATACCAGGTAAGAGTATCTAATTTCATTGTTAGTATTTGAAAAAAGTACCCTTCAGTTTTCACTGACTGTTAAGCAGGCAACCGATAAACAAATTGACCATATAAATTCGAAATTGATATCTGAATGTTATGCCTAGGATAACCCATTAATACAGTTTCTATTTATATTCCTTTTGCATACAGTATTTAAATAATACTAGTTCACATTCATAGAAGATATTCTAGGTGCTAGGTCCATGTATTTTCTCATTAATTCTCAGAACTGCATAAAGTACTTTCCATTCCCATTTTTCAGATGTAAAACCCAAAACTTAAGAAAACTTAGTTTGTTTCTAGTCATATATCTAGAAAAAGAGCCACGCTTTGAACCCACGCAGTCTGACAGTGGAAGCTGTCTAGCTATTCTACTGTACTGCCTAATCTCAGACCCTTATAGCTGGTAGGGGCAGTGTTGATTTTTGTAACAGACTGCTTATGTTCCTCGGGTTGTGTTCCCGGGTCCTCCTAGGAAGGACTGTATCCCCAGATACCTTCCACCCTTCACCACCTCCCTACAATACTCACACACAAAACCAGCGTTGTCCCTGACACTGTCTGCTTGGCATTAGTGCCACAGCCCACAAGTTAATGGGGAGCTCTCTCTCACAAGACTGCTGCTGCTTCAGCAGCCAGCTGCAAGTCCCACATTGTCATCTGTACTTCTGACTGCCGGACTATAAGTTGGAGTTAGCACAGTTCCCTCCTCAGGCTTCAGTAATTTGCTGGAATGACTCAGAACGGGGAAGCAAGTCTGCTGGTTTGTTGCATGTTAAAGGATATAAAGGAGTAGCTGGGTGTGAGACACATACAGCAAGGTCTGTGTGGGCCCAAGCACAAGAGCTTCTGTCTCCACTGAGTGGGGTGCCCCCTGGCACGTGGACGTGCTCATCACCCCAGAAGCTCTCTGAGCCCCATACTTTCATCCCGCAGACATGACTGATTACTAACTCAGTCTCTGGCCTCTCACCTCTGGCCACTCTCCAAAGAATGGGGATTGCAGCTGAAGTTTCCAAGCTTCTACTCATGGCTTGGTCTTTCTGGTGATCAGCCTTCATCCTGAAGTTATCCAGGAGCTCACCATAAATTGCCTCAGAGCAAAAGATGCTTGTATTACCCAAGGTGTTTAGGTGCTCTGTGTTAGGAACTCGGGTCAAAGACCAATTATTAGAACAAAAGATATTCCTAGCACCTTTATCAGTTAGCAAATTACAAAAGTTTTAGCATCGTTTGCAGGAGCCTGGGCCTAAGGTCAAATTTTCTATTATATCACAATAGCATGGTAGGAAACTACAATGTCCTTTTATCTGCCATGTATAAACTCATTATTTCAGTACTAGTGTGTTTCTCACATCATCCGGTCCACTTTTCTTATTCAACTTAATCTTCCACTACATGTGTTTTATTTAAGTTTAGTTAATTTTTACTGTATTAATTTCTCCTGTACAGCAAAATGACTCAGATTCAGTTATACATATGTGTGTGTGTGTATTCATATGTACACTTTCCTTTTTATATTCTTTTCCTTTATGGGTTATCCCAAGATGTTGCTCTCTATGCAATGCAGTAGGACCTTGTCCATCCATTCATATGTAATAGTTTGCATCTACTAACTCCAAACTTCCATTCCATCGCCCCAACTTCTTTGACCCGACCTCCCCCTTGGCAACCAAAAGTCTGTTCTCTATGTCTGTGAGTCTGTTTCTGTCTTTCACTGTCTTTTAAAACATACCCTCTGTTCTTATCAGACTGGTCTTCTTACCATAATCCCAGCTCCCATCACTGTCAGCCCTCAGTAGCTTATTTCCACCCTGGTGTATTTTGTTCCTTTTCCATTTAGGGTTCTCTTTCCTCTATTTCCTGTCTAGCCAAATTGAATTCAGCAATCACTTCTTTCACCCATCCTTCACTTCCTGCTCCAGTCCACACAGATCTCTCTTTTATTTGCTCTCCTAGTATGTACCACATAGTAACATACCATGTTATAAGCTCTTGGGTCATTCCATACAGGTAAATGTGATTATCTTAATTAAACTGCAAATACTCTTAAAGTCCTAAAATTACTCTCAAGTCCTAAAATTTCTTCTTTATACATCCTATAACAATGAACTCCAGTTGGACTATAAATATAGTCTGACCCATGGACCTATTTAGATCCCTGATAAAGTTTTATCAATTTAAATGAGAAAAATAAGACAATGTAGTGAGTTTCTCATAAAGCTAGATTTATTTGGTTTAAAAATCAGCTTAATATTCCATTATGTCTTTTCTACATTATTATTTTTTGAGTTGAATTATCATTTTTTTCCTAAGGTGGTTGTAATAATAGATGGCTGTTTTCTAAATGTTCCTATTTGTCAAAGTACATAATTTTCCATCCTGTGCCAGTACCTCACTTTTGCTTGTACTGCTTCAGATAATCCAAAAGTCAGAGCATCCCTGCCATCACATAAGAATTTAATGATTTAGTTACTTTAATTCATGTTGCACGGCTCATTTATTCAAGAAGTTTCAGCTGAGTACCAACTCAATTTAAAATGCATTAAATATTAAACACATTGAGGACATGTTGGTAAATACTGAAATGAGGAGGGATTCTTTCTATTCAGTTGTTGTCTGGCAGAGCATGTTCTCTGGTAAAGTGATCTGAACTAAAGGTTAAGAATCACTCTCACAGAGAATTCTTTTTTTTTCAAATGTAGTTCAGTAGTCAAAATCATCTGTGATGGTGAACTTGTTTGAAATTCAAATTTTTGGACCCCCCACCCCCAGACCCACAGAATTAGGATCTCTGGGTTTAAAAACTTTAGCACTTTAAAGTCGATTCCCCAAGTCATTCTGATGCAGTTCATTAGAGTTGAGAACAACTGCTCACCTAGCAGACTAATTATAGATCTATATTCAGGACCTAGTTCTGCCAGTCACTAGTCATCATTTTTTGGGGGAAGTTTCTTGACATCTGTAAATCTCAGCTGCTCTAGAAAACATGGTTAATAAGTCTGCTGCACTGAGGATTAGTGGGATGGTGACTGTAACATAGTGGC